AAGGCATCCAAATTGGCAAAGAAGAAGTCAAACTCTCACTCTTTGCAGATGATATGATACTTTATGTGGAAAACCCAAAAGACTCCAGCCCAAAATTTGCTAGAACTCACACAGGAATTCAGCAAAGTGGCAGGATATAAAATCAATGCACAGAAATCAGCTGCATTTCTATACACTAACAATGAGATAGAAGAAAGGGCAATTAAGGAATTGATACCATTTACAATTGCACCAAAAACGGTAAGATACCTAGGAATAAACCTAACCAAAGAGGTAAAGATCTGTACTCTAAAAACTACAGAGAAGAAATTGAAGAAGACACAAAGAAATGGACAAACATTCCATGCTCATGGTTGGAAGAATAAACATTGTTAAAATACCTATGCTACCTAAGCAATCTACACATTCAGTGCAATCCCTATCAAAATACCATTGACATTTTTCACAGAGCTGGAACAAATAATCCTAAAATTTGTATGGAACCAGAAAAGATCCTGAATAGCCAGAGGAATGGTGAAAAAGAAAACCAAAGCTGGTGGCATCACAATGCCAGACTTCAAGCTCTACTGCAAAGCTGTAATACAGTCAGAAAAGCACATGGTTGTTAGGGTGGGTCTTTTATTTACCTTCTTGGCTAACACACTGGAGAAAAAGCCCCTCTATGACCTTGTGGTCACCTTTATCAAATTAGCTGTATTTGCATATGTTGGGAACTATGAATGGATGGGTAACTGGGTGACAGGTATTAAGGAGGGCACATGATGTGATGAGCACTGGCTGTTATATGCAACAGATGAGTTACTGAACTCTACCTCTGAAACTAATGATGTACTCTAAGTTAGCTAATTGAATTCAAGTTAAAAAAATAATAAAAAAACAAGAACTAAATTTAAAAAGTTTGAATCTTCATTTGTATAATAGGGAATTGAGAAAACTTTCAAAAACGGAGCTCATATTTGTATTGTCTATTATAACAAATTAGCTATTCTTACTACCTGTGTTAAATTTCCTTCTCTATAAAAGTTAATCTTTGAAATAAAAGTTTTTTAAAGGAATAAATTGTTATTTTTAACTTTATTCAGATTTGCAGAAAAACACTACATCGGCACGTGCTCATATTTCGGCTGCCTAACTTACAGATGTTAGATGGAATTCCTGTGAATTCAGATGATAGAGCTAAAGCTGAATTTCACTTCTCTGAACTACAAGCAAAGAAAACTTCGGTAATACTTCTATTATTTATACTTTTCTTTTAAAATATATAATTATTAGTAAATTAAAACCAATTTACTAGGTAAATCTGGGCTATGATGTTTTTGTAGATTATTTTAGTATCTATTTTAGTGATTACTATCAAAAGAATCTTGATCTGGTGAATAAAGCACAACCACACACACAAATTCCAGGGAAGCTCCTTTTTCCAGTCATGTAATTTGGCATAAAGAAAATTATTTAAAATCTGCGTGCCTCTTGCTTAATATGTGAGATAATGCTAGAGGGTAAGAATCTATAACATATCACTTCTATAAACCGAAACTAACAAACTCTTTCAGTTTAGCAGATAGGAAGGGAAGGAAGGAATTCTGACCTCAACTCTCCAGACTTGTAGTTCATCTAACAAGGGAGATGTGAGCTTCTTTTCTTGTTGGCCAGAAAAATTGCACCTTTTACCTACGAACTCTAAAAAGGTATCTGACCATGACATGAAAGAGATTAGAGACAGAAGCCACAAAAGCATATCATTAGGAAATTCTGTCCTTGACCACAAGGATTCTTCGTGACCATCCTCCACAAAGACTAAACACAGAAAAGCTATGGTTTTTGAACAAAGAAGTAACCTTATTAGAGCTGTGCCTTTGCAAGGTTTGAGAAAGAAGAGGCTGGAAGCAGGGAAACCAGTTAAAAGGCTTTTAGAATAATCCAAGAGGGAGATTATGAAGACCTAAAGTAGGGTGGGGCAGTAAGAAGGTAAGTGAACCTCTAATATAAGTGAAAGCCAGAGAGCGAGGACATTAGTCAGTGAACAAAGATTACTTTTAAAATGCATATTGAAGAGAAACTAGGTAAGACTACCATAGATGCTTTCACTTAACTCAGTGGATTACCCAGCACTCTCCATCCCTTCTGTAAAACAAACTGATTTCCAGAGCACACTGGACCTTTGAGCGAATATATACTCAAATTTTAGCTGATGAGTATTTCACTAAAGGGTTTGCTTCTTGGCTATTCTTTTCTATTTTTTCATATAGTAAATTCGGATTTTTCCCTTTACTACACTATGATGTAGTAAATTCTTGAGTGAATCTAGACATGTATTCTTGCCATTTAAATCAGTGCCATATATAAGAACTTAATTGTTTTTCTACTTATTCCAAATGTAAGAATTTTATTAAAAAATTATTTTTTGATTCATCTATACAGAGTTAATAAAATAAAGGGGATATTTGAAGTCTTTATTTTAGAGAAATCTATTTTAAGATTCAATAATAATGTTTATTTTCATGGCTAGAACAAAACTGAGCCATTATTTCTTTTAGCTATTCAGGAGACACAAAAACAGAATCCTTTTCAAGTTTATCAGTTCAGTCTAATTTATTTTTCTTTCAGGTTACTGCTGTTCTTTCTTTTTTAACAGCAAGTAAAGAGGGAATAAATGAACTCTAAAGTTGTCCTTTAAACCAGAACATTTTGGGGCTTTTGGTTTCAGAAGAAAATTTGACAACATTCTAGATTAGTGATGGGAAGAAACTCCTACAAAGGAATTAGTTAGGGAATTTGGGACTGACCAGCTTTAGTAAAAGGCCTGATACTTTAGTGCTCATTACAAAGCTGCATTCTTGGTAACACTTACTGAAACAGGGAAATCGGTCATTTTACACAAATGGCAAAAGCCTGTATCTCTAAATAAGTTGAATCATATATTCTGAATTCAGTATAAAGTATTCAATTTTTTAAAGTATAAACAAGGTCAGTCTTAATGAAGACAGAGCAAGCATAAAATTCTAGGGAAACCAAGAGTCTCTAGCCTAAAATACTTCTCTCCTCTGTTTGCTGATTCCTGAAATTCTTTTAAAAGCCTCTTAATCCTCAACTAACTTAAAATGTAAACACCATTTAGAGAGTTAGCACATTCATTAAAAGTGATTGTTGTAAGATGCTTTCCTTAGTCCCCATTTATTTACTTGTTTGTTTTTGAAAAACTAATTAACTGCAAGGCACTTGAAGAGGTAATGTGAGGAATATAAAGATGTGGAAGATCTAACTGTTACCATCCAGAAACTCTTGCTCAGTAAAAAAGAAACAAAGAGGGAAAAGCTTAATTCTCATTTTCTGCACTTACCTTGTAAAGATCCTCTGGAAAGGGAGAGGTGTCATCACAGTAGTGATGAGCACGATGCAGTCTGAAAAGACAGAACATAAGGTTCTGAGGGAGTCCAAAGGCTTTCAGTTTCTGCTTCATACCAACTCAGTTTAGGCTTTAACTCCTGACCTAAAGAATTTTAAGTTAATTATCAAATGGGGCTTATGGTAAGAACTAAATCTATTGATCTGAGTTTTGGAGATGAGGTGTTCTTAACTGTTTTTCTTTTATTATGTAGTTTATTCCTGTTACCAGCTCTCCAATGGATGGTGGATCATTTGGCCAAGTGAAAGCGCCTCCCATAAAGATAACAAATGTAATTCTGCCTGGTGCATTTAGCCATTACCCGGGACCTGACTTCACTTTAACTCCTGAAGTTGAAGGTATTTTGACAGAGTTTCAAAGTAAATGTAAAAGCAAACAAACAAAACACTTCATTTGAAACCAAAATCTCACTCTGACTTCTAATACTACTTAAAATTGCATTTTTAAATTTACATTTCCTAAAATTGCATGTTTGTTCAAGTTTCATGTGGTCATTCTGACTTTAGAGTCTATAGTATTTTTGGGTTTTGCTGACCCACTAATATGTTGTAACTAAACATTTACTCATAATGTGAACTTTGTGATACTTGCACAATTATTTCTTGAATTATTTATTTTCAAAAGCTTTTGTTTCATTTTATGTATTTCATAGCATATGAAACCAATTCATTAGTATGTCCTGCTAAAAGAAGAGAGTCAAAGGTTTAAAAATATCTGTGACAACAGATTCTTGGGGTACAAAGAGAAGATCAGACTTTATCCTTGAAACCACAAATAAACCATGAAGCTAATACTAGAGAAGAGTTTCAAGAGGTAGAGCTCTATAGCAGCGAGTATATTAAAAGGAAAGGGCATGGAAATGATTCCTTCTATTATATACATTTTAATTCGGGCTTAGATTAAACCTTTTCCCATATTCCAGATCTTCACTGGCTATCTTTTTGGTAAAACTGGGGGTAGCTACTCCTCTGAGGGTTCACCTCTTCCATTCCTTATAACATCCCACTTTGCATGGGACCACTGTTGGACAATAAAATTGAACATCACAGTAATTATAAAATGATGTAAGAGCCTACTAAGAACAGTAGATTGCTCTGTGTGATTATTTTTAAAGGAAACTCAGTTAAAAGAAACCCAAAATAACTTACTTTGTTAAGATGTTATTCTTTAACTTATTTTTCATACTTCTACATACATATGGCTTTAAGATTTTAGTCACAGTAAGAATTGTTATGCTTTTGTCCAGTAGATATAACTATCAGTAAAATTGGACATCCCAAATTATTAGTCTCCTTAACAGTACAATGTTATCTTCAGGAATGTCATCAATATCTTCTCTCTTTTTTTGGTACTAGTTCAACCTTGGATTCATCTCCATAATGTCCTCAGATATCTGTCTTCAGGATTTGTTGTGGGACTATTTTTTAGGTTTTCCTTGAAAAGTCCTATAGTTTCTCTCCTATTTTTGGACTATGTTGCCACAATTTTTATTTTGAAAATCATGGTCACCTTATCTCTACATTTATTAGAGCACACAGCTCTAGGTATTTATATTTTTAAAAATTACTGAGAAACAATCAAATGGATTCATGAACTCAGAGAAGTTTAAGCAGCATAAATGCTAGAAATCTATTCCAATTCTCTATTTTTATTTAAAATGTTTTAATTCATGTTATGAAATATGTACAGCACACATTCAGTTGAAGGGCAACCAAGCTTTATTACTTAATTCATTTTATTACTTAGTGCTTCTCATTGTTTCACAATTCCTAATTTCAGACAAAAAAAACAAGAATGCAGGCATTCTGACAAATAATCCTCGGAGCATCCATGCAGAAATAGCTTTTCGGCAACTCAGAGGGATAAATCTCTCTCCATCTCTTTTATCACATCAGAGTATGTCATCTCCAACTGCACATATGTACCAGAGCAACCCAGATGAGGGAAGGTAAAACTATTCTGTTTTAATATCATTTCTCATCATTAAAAAAACTCCCCAAATTTGCTAGTCATGTATAAAAATAAGAAATATTATTATATACTATTATTTATTTACTGAGAGCTGGAAAAAACTGTCAGATAGCATGAGGATTCTTCTCCCACATTCACCAAACTTTCCCAAAGTCCTGTGTATTTACATAGTAATTCAAAGAGGCTTAGAAATGGCTGTCAAGGTAGAATAGTGCTCACCTAATGCTTATATGAGGGAACACTGAAATAAACACTTATAATTGCACTCTGCCAAGTCACTTCTCATTAAATATGCAAAGCAGTTCACTTATATTTTGAACAACAGATAAATTCAATTCTGAAATCACAAAGACCAAGAATTTTGTAAATACTTCAAGCCTCTCCTCTGGTCTGGCCCTAGCCCTAGGCCAGCTCAGTGCCTAAGAACCTGTTACTTCTCATTAAGAATCCACTCTGTTGCTCAACACCTGTCTACCTAGATTTCCAATTCTTACCTGTCTCCCAGCTTCTTTGTAGCCAAGCTCCAATTCATCTATTAATGACCTACTCAGCAGCAGATCTAGCATAAGCCTGGCTCTTGCTATACTGACTTCCCTGCTGAGTCCTCAGGATAACCTGATTTTTAGATGTCCAAGAATAGGATCATTTTCTCTGTTGTACTGTCTTTTTAAAATTGAACACATATAAAATACAGAAATTATTTACTGTAGAATTACTTTAAATTAGCTGATCCATTAAGAAAATAAGTCATAATTATTTGACTCATAAATATTTTATTTCCGACAGAATTCCTGGCAGCCACTTTCCAGGATCAAATCGAATGTAACTGCTTAGAGAAATGAATATACACCAAGTAACCTATTTCTCCTTAGTAGCTGTACAAAAACTAGCAGACAGTGTTGGTGAAAAAAATATCTAAGATAATCATGTTACTTATTTTACTGAAGCACTTCAGTTCCATATGAAGATAATCTAATCTCTATCACCCTGGTTGAATTTTATTTAATATCACCTCTCTTAAACTTCCATTATGGTTATCTTATTCATTTGAATTTCTGTATTAGAAAAATCGTGAACCATTATATCATACAATTTGAAAAGATAGAAGTGATACAAAACAAAGTCCAGAGAATCAAATATTTAGTCCTGGTATTGGAAGCATTTAGTTACAAAATCTTATTATGGCCTGTCATGTGAAGATACTAAGAAAAGATAATTCTAGTAAATAAGCATATTTTATTTGTTGAGTATTTATTTATTTGGAGTTACCTAAAACTAAAGCATATATTTCTTATTAAACACAACTATTACTAAAGCAGGTTGAGCTTTGCTCATTGAACTACAAATTAGTTTTTTAGGACTATAATTGGAAAAAAATATCCTTAAACCATATCTGCCCTAAGAATTCTTTAGCGATGCAAATTATGGGCCTTAGTAGTACTTCCTGAAGGTGGCTAACTGTCAGTGCAACCAGGCATTCATGCTCTAAGAATAAAAAAGTACTATTTCAAATACAAAATTTGTTAATTGTACCCATAGTAATATAATTTTACAAGCAGTTTTAGGCTAAAAAAGAACACATGTTCAAATTGAGTGGACACATTTAAATTTGAAACCCTTAATAATTATTTCACTGAAAATAATTATGCTGCATAGTACTAGGACAGATCACAAATAAATCAAATATGGTTTTGAATTTCATTGTTTTATTAAACACAGTTCTTTAAATTAATAACTTGCCAACCATATTTTGATATAAGTGGGCTCTATGATTCATGAGCCCATTTTCCAAGTATTGGTTCAACACTGCATGTAGTTTTCTTACTATTTTAGATGTTCCTTACATGAAAATAAATTTTTACTAAAATATTTGTATTTTGTAATCTATCTGGAAATAGGCTTAAAGATATTTTGGAAACTAATTCCAATGTGTATGCAACAATTTGTATCTTTTCCTCTTTAAATGTTGTATGTTTGTGATGTAATCATGTAATATTTAAAATTTCAAATCTAATACAGATTGATTTTATACTTCTTAATGTGTGGTTTTTAAACAACTATTACTCTTAGGTGAAAATAAGATCCTTTGTTTAAAAAACAACTATGCAGTTCTTAAGGTGTCCAGAAGATGTCTTTGTTGCCCTTTAGTTTTGACAACTGCTTTCCTTACAGTGCTCTGATGAGTGTCTGCTCTTCTGTTACTAACTTGGTATCATCGGCTTTTTTTCTTTCATGATTTTGTATAAATGAAATACTGAATATATGTTGCTTTTGTAATGACAATTGTCTTTTAAAATAATAAACTAGATGGGAAAAATAAGAATAATTGGCTTTCCCTAGAGAAAAGGAATTTTCAAGAATTAGAAAAGTATAAAGCAGGAGGAACAGGAACACAGGAAAGCAAGAAAAACATAACTCATTATTCAACATCCACTTAACATTTAGCATATTTTCTTGTAGCCATTTTTCCTATGCATTTGTAATATATTTGAGATCTATCATTTGATTTTTATGTACTACACACTGTTAAATTCTGAGGTATCTTACTATTTCTATTATAAATTTTTAATTACATCTGAATTTCTTCTTGAAAGTAAATTAATTTGTAATACATTTTTTTTTTAAATTTTTAAAGGGGGGAGAAGAGAGGAGGGCCAGAGAGAGAGAATCTTAAGCAGGCTCCATGCTTAGCATGGAACCCCATGCGGGGCTCAATCTCACAACCCTGAGATCATGACCCGAGCCAAAATCATAAGTCGGACGCTTAACTGACTGAGCCACCCAGGTGCCCTGGTAATACAGAATTTGATAGTAACACTAAAAATAATATTAATATGTATCTAGGCATTGCTAGGTACTATCCAGAAAATAGACATAGATCCAACCTTTAGAACATTTTAATATAACTACATGACAAATAATTTCATATAAAGTAATGAGGGGGATGATTACTAACATAATTTACACAGTTCTGAATTTTTTTCTGCCATGAGAGCAGATGACACTGACATGATAGAGAACGTATTCCCCTGAGAATGCCTAGATGGGTTAAGCCACTGGTTATGTGCAGTTCATAAAGCAATAGTTATAACTTCATTCCTTTCCTGTTCAACAAAACAAAACAAAAATGTAATTGAACATGAGGGATGTTTTTATAGGAATGACTTTAGATCTGTGCTAAATAATTCAAGTAAATAATAAACTGAGGAATTTTAAGTTATAGTTACAATTATTTGTAACATACTTCACAACTGATTATGACAAAACAGGCAAATAGTGCTTTAAATTTATAAACCACTAGCCCATACTTTACATGGTTAATCCTAATAACCCACTCTATGAAGTAGATATGACATGTATGGTCTCCATTTATAGATAAAGAAACTGGCTTAAGGAAAATATATCATACCAAATCCTAGATTTTTTTCAACTCCGAATTCATTACTTTTTCAATTACTACAAGTGAATTGACATTTAATTATTACCAATGTGCTATGTAATCAGCTGTTGTAGAGCCCTAATGTATGCTGTAAACTATTTATTCATTCTCTTCCAGTGTATTTAGCTTAGGGAAAATGCATAATTTCTACAGTAAAATTAGTTCTTTGCTCCCAGCAAATGTCCTGATAGATTTATTTTGTATGCAGTCATATGCATGAATATACGACTTGTTTTAAATTAAAAACAATTCCACAAACAACCTGGAAAGCTAAATATTAGGGCACTTTATAGATTAGGAGCCTACAATGCTGAACTGAATATAGACGATGTCAACATGATCTTCTGATATCTATGTATGAATATTGACTATAATAATTATTCAATAATAATTTTATTATTTACTTCTCTTTTTATAGTTCTAAACTTCTCTGATTGTTGGTACAAAATTAACTATGGTTGTGAACATATTTTTGCCTAGAATATTTAGTGTGTACTGTGTGTGTATGTTTGCAGGCACCCATGGCCAGTTTTAAAATAATCCTTATATTTAAGTAACATACCATTTCACTGTTTATTCATATCTTTCATACATTATGAGAAGTGTTTGTTTTAAAACATTAGATCTTATTGTTAGTCATGCTTTAGGCTCTTAGCTTCAATTAAATGTTACTTATATAAAAAGAAGTAAATTATTTATAGTTCTGTAAGAGTAGAAACAAGCGCTGATGGTCAAGTTCTGTTGGTTTTTCAATGATCTGATCAAATCAATCCTTTTTATGAGATAGAAACTGGCTGGTTTTTTAAATTCCTATAATACTTAGAGCTTCTGGATGACCTCCAAGTGCCTACCTACTTTTCTTATTCATCTCTCTGCAGTTGCCTTCATTATTGAAATATTTTTTAAGATTTTTATTATTTTTTTAAGTAATCTCTACACCCAACGTGGGGCTTGAACTTATAACCCCAAAATCAAGAGTCACATACTCTACTGACTAAGCCAACCAGGTGCTCCTATTGAAATATTTTTAAAGAAAAACTATACAAATTACAATTTTAGTTCACAGTTGCCTTTAAGAACTAGGTCAGCAAGAAGAACACAGTTATTTTTTTAGTAATATTTTCTTTCTAGAAGTTTTTATTTTATAAAAATATGAATTATAATATACTTTATTACTTTTTCTTTCATTGATGAATAAAAATGTTTTGTAAGCTGGGCGCCTGGGTTGCTTAAGCATCTGACCCTTGATTTTGCTCAGGTCATGATCTCAGGGTCGTCAGATGGAGCCCGCATCAGCCTCTGTGCTGGGCGTGGAGCCTGCTTAAGATTCTCCCTCTTCCTCTCCCTCGCTCTTAAAAAAAAAAAAAAAAAAGTTTTACAAACTACTGAAAAGACATTTCTCAAACCAAATTTGTGCATTTTTTTAATCTTAAAATTTTGTTTTGGTGAGGATTTTTCCTTATAATTAAGATAAAATGAATGATTTTATAGCCAAAACATGAAATGCTGTAACCTGAAAATAGAATATTCAAAGGAACTCAGAAGTGAAGTAGCTTTGAAAGTGGTGATATCTGAAATCAAATTATTGATCATTTATGTTTCATTTATTAGGGCTTACCTTAACCATATGGTCTCTTAGGGACATCAAAAAGCCAATTCATCAACATCATCATTTTCCATATAAAATACATGTGATTCTGAAATGCTAAGTTTAAAATTAGAGTAGATTTTTCTTTATATTGTATTATTAAAAATAAGAGTATTTCCATAGGCTCTGAATAAAATTCTAATTAACTTACAAATGTTTAAATATATTTCATACCAGAAGAGTTACATTTGTTAAACATTACAAAGAGGGAAAAAAAGGTTAGTGATGATCTTACTATTTTTGTAAACCATTTTTGGTTACATTTATCCTAATAAAAATATCTGTATTTTAAATAGAAAAAAATAAGATTGTGTGGTTTAAAAGCTGTAGGTTTTAATCATGGACCTGCATGTTTTATATCTTGCTTACTGTAAAACATTTTTTTCTAGAAAATGTTTTAGATAATTTTAGCCATTTGGCTCTACTATTTGTTCCATCTTTAATTATAACATAATGCCCCCTCTACCATTTCTCCCCTCCCCAAAATGTTTGCAAGTATGTTTCTCAAAGAACAACAAAAAGAGGCTAATCTGTAAAAAATATATCAATAACATTTTTAAGTTTCCAATTATTATTTCTTGCCATCAATTTGGCTGAAAACAGGTATTTACAAACACTGGTAGCCTACTTTCTTATGGTCTTTCACTTTTTTATGAAGTGCTTTAAAAGAGTTCAATCAACCTTAATGGTGCATTTTTAGTTAAGGAAATAGAATAGGGAGAAGTCAATTTGAGCTCCCAGATGAACAAGTGTCTTGAGAAAGAATAGGCATAAATGGGTTTAGAAAACAGAGAGAGTAGGAGTAAAATGCAGTGAGCAGAGCACTCAGAGAAGCCACATACAATGGAAAGAATAAAATACTGCAGAGCTTTTTCAGCTACATACAATTGGAACAATGGACTTGATCCAGCCATCTATATTAAACTGTTAAAAGGTGAAAAGCAAGCTGGAATTCTATAAAGAGTGTTGAGGAACAGTAGAATGGAGCGCTTTAAATCTAAAGAGAATGAATGCAGTCATTCAATAGGATGGAAATGAAGTCAAAATTGGCATATTTCCCTGGTTAATTTACCTTGTGAAGGACTCTGTTCAGTTTAGGTATTAAGCCATTATTAGCAACAAAATAGTCTTTAAACTGCCACCTTTGGAGTTTTTAAAGCAACAACATAGTGTACATCTGTGAATTTCATATGCACATACCACATACACATATACATGTAAGTAAAATACAACATATAGATCTCATATAATTGTAACAATTTAATATTATAGTCTACAGCAATCAGTACACTATATACATCAAACTTCCCATTCCTCAAAAACAAAAAAGGCTAATTTAGAGTTAGTGGCAAAGATGAAAGTGTACAATTATAAAAACTTAAAAAAGAAAACTGATCTAAAATAACACATGTAACTCAGAGAACAGAATACTGTGGAATGACTGAATGGCTTAAATTTTTTTAATTAGCTGGCAGTCACTCAGAAAAGATTTTTTTCACATTTTGGGAAAATTTTTATTGAATGAACTGATACACTTTCCTTCTTTAGTAACTAGAATAAAATTTTATTTTCAATGATTTATAGTGCCTCAGGGTGATAGTTGTGCATGATTCACAATTTTACAGAAATGTAGCTGAAAAAGTATATAGAATGTGTCCTGTAATGTTTTGAATGAACGTGTATCAATGGAAACACATCTAAAACATCTATAAATAGAAACTGAGTAAGACTAAAGTCCAAACATTTATTAATGTTAACAGGTTGAGCTATTAGCTTTCAAAAAGAATGTTAGCCATATACTGGGGCATTGGGGTGGTTCAGTCGGTTAAGTGGCTGCCTTCGGCTCAGGTCATGATCTCAGGGTTCTGGTATCAAGCCCTACGTCTGGCTCCTTGCTCAGCAGGAAGCCTGCTTCTCCCTCTCCCTCTGCCTGCTTGCCATCCCCCCTGCTTGTGCGCTCTCTCTCTCTCTCTCTGTGTCAAATAAATAAATAAAATCTTCAGAAGAAAAAAAAAAGAATGTTAGCCATATAATCATCATCCTTCTTTTGTTATTAAATGCTTTAAATATTTATTTATTCTCTTTAGACTTAGTATTAACTGACGAATATTGACATTATCAAGGATTTAAACAACAGCTACAACAGACTTCAGCAACAGTGAAGATTTCCTAATATCACAGAACTGTTTCAATATAATGCTAATTTCAGGTTTTTTTCAGTGTATTGTAAGAAAATAAGAGGAGAAATATGTACTTAAAACATGAGTATTTCAGTTAACTTAAATATTTAGAAAATAAATCATCAAAAACAGTTATTAAGGATAATAAAGGCCAAATTTAATTTTTAAAGAGCTTTATTTTCATGGAGGAAACAAAAAATGAAGAAAAAAATTAGTTTTTGTTGGAAACCACTTTTCTCTTGTAACTCCAAAAGTTAAGTAGTTGTTTCTAATATTAATCCTGCATATTTTTTGATCACTTTCAATTATATTCAAAAGATCAAAAAAGAATGCTATTATGAGCCTAGATGAGGAAAATCAAGTGAAAACAAAGCAGAATATTGGTATCTAAAGTAATTTTATTCATATTTGGTTATAAATAAGTTTACCTCCCTTACTGGATCTTAAACATTTAAGTTATTTTATCTTGAGATCAGTTATTAATATATACTGTTTTGTTTCCCACTGAATTTTATAATTTTATTTATTATGTTTATGATATTTGGAGGGGAAAGAACAAAAATGATTTTTTAAAAAATTCTAAAATCTACTCACTAATTTAACTGATGGTATAATATTATAAAAAATATTAAAAATGTATGGGCTTATAAGTTTTTAAATATTGATACTATTCCTTTGATACATATCACTTTTTCATCTGTATGTGTGATCAAGCTTACCACAGCTAACTGGCCTATATATTATTATTTTCTAAAGATTTTTATTTATTTATCTGAGAAAGAGACAGAGCACGTGTACACACAAGTGGGGGGATGGGTAGAAGCAGAGGGAGAGGGAGAAGCAGACTCCCCACTGAGCAGGGAGCCTGACATGGGACTCAATTCCAGGAGCCCAAGATCATGACTGGAGCCAAAGGCAGATGCCTACCTGACTGAGCCACCCAGGCGCCCCTAAATGGCCTACATGTTAAAGAGGTAAGCACATGAATAATGTTTTGGCAGAGAATAGAGGATACAAAAGTAACAAAAAGAATGACATAAATCAAAGAGCTGTCCTCCCACATAGATCACTTCTATTTCATGACATTATACTCTTACTGTTCTTTTACACTTATAAAGGATGTATACCTCACCATCTGGGAGACCAAAAACTCAATTATATACCATTATCAAATCTTCAATATCAGTATAACAAAGAAAACAATATCAGAACCAACCCCAAGATCTGTGAAATTATTTCCCCTAGGTATTACAAACTTAGAAGACTTCAGGGACCTGCCACATAACCTAAATGAAGGAGACCAGATAAAAGAAAAATTAACAGCCAGAAACATAATCAACTGTACTTTTACTGAAATAAAATGTGCTAGTTTCCATTTGCCCTTCCAGATCTACTCTACACCTTTCCCTGCTTTGTCATTCTAGAGAATGACTCATGGACAACATCTGCCAGGGTTCTTTGTCTCTCTATCTGGCAGTTGGGTTTAGCCAATGGAAGACACTGGCAGTCTATCAAAGAGAGGGAGAACAATAAAATTTAGGCTTTAGTAGTAACTGTATTCCTTTATAAGGGCCCCAGCTACTCTTAGGCTCTCCTAAAACTCTCTGGATTCTAGCAAACTCCCTCCTTTTACACTTCAGGCCTAAGGCTGTTGCAAATTTGTAATGATTCACCAATGCTGGTCTTTTATAATTCATTACTCATCTGGTTTGGAACTGACACCTGACACCTTTTTCTTCTACAGCAAGATGTTAATGTGAGGTTGGAATTGATTGATTGCAGTATGAAATACAGACTTCAGTTCTGGGAGCCATATTTTTAAATTAGTCTCATGGCCAAAAAAAAAAAAAAAAAAGAAAAGTGTTCACAAATACAAGAACTTTAATTATGGATAAAATCTTTCATAGTAGGGGGCGCCTGGGTGGCTCAGTTGGTTAAGCGACTGCCTTCAGCTCAGGTCATGATCCTGGAGTCCCGGGATTGAGTCCCGCATCGGGCTCCCTGCTCGGCAGGGAGTCTGCTTCTCCCTCTGACCCTCCTCCCTCTCATGCTCTCTGTCTCTCATTCTCTCTCTCTCAAATAAATAAATAAAATCTTAAAAAAAAAAAAAAGAAAAATTAAAAAAAAAAAAATCCTTCATAGTAGCTTTTACATATTACTCCGGAATGTCTATAGAATTCTAGTATTCCAATGTCACTTTATTTAATTTTCAATTCACTAAATTCCATTTATAACTACTCATTCTCTTGATGGATGGACATCTGGGCTCTTTCCATAGTTTGGCTATTGTGGACAGATGAATGGATAAAGATGTGATATATACATACAATGGAATATTACTCAGCCATCAAAAAAATGAAATCTTGCCATTTGCAATGACATGGATGGAACTAGAAGGTATTATGCTAAGTGAAATAAATCCATCAGAGAAGGAAAATTATCATATGATCTCACTCATATGTGGAATTTAAGAAACAGGATCATAGGGGAAGAGAGGAAAAAATAAAACAAGACAAAATGAGAGAGGGAGATAAACCACAGAGACTCTTAATTATAAGAAACAAACTGAGGGTTGCCAGAGGGGAGGTGGGTGGGGGAATGGCGTAACTGGGTGATGGACATTAAGGAGGGCACATGATGTAATGAGCACTGAGTATTATATAAGACTGATGAACCACTGAACTCTACCTCTGAAACTAATAATACATTATATCTTAATTGAATTTAAATAAAACATTAAATAAATAAGTATAACCATTCATTCTTATTATCAGTATTAAAAAAACTAACTGCACAATTAGTTCATATTCATAAAGTTTGAAATCATGTAAACACTGAAATCTAGTCTTTTACTCCATATATTTAGAGGTGTCATACAGGCCATCACTTGTTTTTCTGGAAATTAATTTCAGCCTAGGTAAGGGGGCCAGACTACTCCTTGTCAAACTTGCAAAGATAAAATTTCTCTACAATTGAGTAAAGTAAACCATATGTCTGTATAACTACTAGTGGATGTCCTTCCAGAGGAATTTTCAGAGAATTTAGATGTAGTATCAGCCCAAAAGGCTGTCCTTAAACCAATCTTCATTTGTGATCTGAGCCAAGAATTTTGTGGATGATCTGCACAAATCAGTTTTCCTGGTTGAAAAAACTCTCTTCAAAACCGTGCTTGACTAAGCACCAAACCAATTGTGCAGCACAGCAATCTACAGTATTGTGCATCCAGTTCATTTAAGCTCCCAGCCCCACTCCACCCCCAACTCTACTATGGATTTTTTTTCCCCTCGATTGTCGGTAATTTACTATTTTGGACTGAAAGCCTAAAGAATTCTTTTTCTTCATTATTAAATCTTTTTTTTTTAAAGATTTTATTTATTTATTTGAGAGAGAAAATGAGATAGAGACAGAGAGCATGAGAGGGGGGAGGGTCAGAGGGAGAAGCAGACCCCCTGCTGAGCAGGGAGCCCGATGTGGGACTCGATCTCGGGACTCCAGGATCATGACCTGAGCCGAAGGCAGTCGCTTAACCGACTGAGCCACTCAGGCGCCCTCATTATTAAATCTTATTAACTATAGCCCTACGCCATGCTCCAGAATTTTTCAGTTTCCTTTATTGTCAGCCCGTATTTAAAGTTTATGGTTAGGTCCTTCTCTGTGGTTGTTGATGGTGATTTTTTTTTATTGTTTCTGTTGTTGTAGTTGTTAGTTATTTTGTTAGAAATTGGGGGACAGTGATTCATTCACCTATCTAGAAGTTCTTACATGAAGATTTTCATGTCTTTCCTAAACACAAAAAAGTAATTCATGTACAAGTTTAGTGTTTAAAATACTGAGTAAAACTGTACAAATTTAAAGGGAACCTAGTGTATTAAAGATTGGTTTTTATCAAGGTAGGTAGAAATAAAATGAGCTTGATTAGTAAATTCAAGAAGTGTATACATAGAAACTTTGAGGAAAGTTAGACAAAATGGGAAACCCAACAGAAGTAAAGAATGTTTTGCATTTTTTCAACCCAAGGAGTAAGAAAGCTAAGGATACTACCTACCAAGGATTAAGGTTTTGGTAAAGCCTCATGACTACTTTTGGTTGTCCCGGCAATGGGAGCCCCACCATTTGAAAGTGGTATTATAATGAAAACAAAAACAACCAAACTCATGCACATGAAGTACATGAGAATTAAAGGCAAAGTAACTTATGGTCTCACTAGCTCTATCTTGGGAAAATGTCTGGGGATGTTAAGTTTGAGAGCGTTTGTGCTCTATATAATCAGATAATGTAATCAAGTGTGATGTATCCATAGTAAATTATCCATTGTACTTATGGCAGTCACAACCTGGAAGGTTTTTACATTGAGAAAATGAAGGAGCTTATTATCTTCCTGTCAAGTATAAGACGGCTGGGGATTTAGGGAGTTCCAGCTCTTTGTCGTTTACATAGCTTTCCCCATCCTCTGCTATGGACCCAGGTTTATTCTGCAAAAGAGAAAAGTGGGATTAGAACTAAGAGTCAACACAGGAGTTCCTTGCTCCCATCAAGAATCATACTGACCCCACAAATAAATAGAGATAACTGGATTGTACATCTGTGCTCTTCTCTGCAAAAGTAGAAAATGCCACAAATTATTTAACATTTGCACACAGTTTTTCCTGTAACTTTCATAAACATCTCCACCATTTCTTTAACTTACTGATGAAAAAAATTTCTAATCAGGTTCACATTTACAAATCTTCGTTACTAATCAGAGTACATAATTTTCTCCTGCACTCAATAGACTATGTGGCATAAGAAGAAATCTATTCGGTCTTTATCCCTGGTTTCTGACACAAAGCTCCTAAAACCCTTGGAATTTTCTGAGTGATGAGTATCTTTTGTCATTCATAAGGAGCCCCTTTAAAGCACACCTGAGTTTATGTTAATGAGTTGACAAAGAGTGGGGCTCCTAGATAGCATCAGGATGGAACTGGTCACCAGAAAGACGGAGTGATTAGAGGGTTAGAACTTTCAGCCCCACTCATGACCTCTGGGAAGAGGAAGTGGTGTAGAAGCTGGAGATCACAGCCCTGTAACAACTCTTCATGATGAGCTTCCAGCTGTTACACAATTCGCATGGCAGGATGGTTGGCACACCCCAATTTCATAGGGACAGAAACTCCTGCACTAGGGACCCTTTTGGACCTCGCTCTATGTACCTCTTCTTCATCTCTATCCTTTATATCTTTTATAATAAAATGGCAAACATAAGTAAATGTTTCTCTGAGTTCTGTGAGCCACCCTAGCAAATTAATCTAATCTGAGAAGAGGGTTGTGGGAACCTCCAATTTATAGCCAATTAGTCAGAAGCACAGGTAACAACCTGAACTTGAGGCTGGTATCTGAAATACGGCCAGTCTTGTGAGACTGAACTCTCAACATATGGGATCTAATGCTATCTCCAGATAGATAGTGTCAGAATTGAGTTAAATTTGTAATACACCTAGTCAATCTACTAAGAATTGGAGAATTGCTTGGGGGTATGGGGAAAAAACACATTGGAATATGTAAAGAATACTGATGATTGTGGCAAAATACCACAGGTAATCGTCTATGAATACTAAAATTAATGGATGGCAGTATAACCAGGATATTAGAATGGCCTCTAAGATTTCCCACAATATATTTTAACTACAAAGAGAAAAATAGTAACTTCACAGTGGGAAAACCTGGTAAATACCACTTTAAGTGATCAGAGTTAACATCACCAATAATAAGATGTATCAATACCCTGATATGATGCACTGATAGTTCTGTGGTATTCTTGCCAAAAATACATAAACTGATCATGAGAAAATATCAGAAAGACCCAAACTAAGGAGCATTCTACACGTAACTGGCCAATAACTCTTCAAGAGGGTCAAGGGCATTGAATAATGAAAACAGAGGAACTATAATAAATTGGAGAAAACTAAGGAGATATAACAACTAAGTGTAATATATGGGATTCTGGATTGGATCTTGGACCAGGAAAAGGACGTGAGTGGGAAAACTGGTGAAATCTGTTAAGGTCTGTAGATTAGTTAACAGTATTTATCAATGTGAAAAGCTCACATAATCAATAGAAAGGCTGGAAAACCAGGCTATATAATGAGCTCCATGGAAAGCTGAGTGGTCATAATTATAGGCAATGTCATGACACAGGAATAATTTAATTATGGCACCACTGCCTTGCAGCTACATGGGTGCTACTGGGCCCTGGATGTTCCTGCTGCCATCAGAATGAATCCTAAGTATCCCTGCTTCTTTGCTTCCCATGATTACACTGAAAGCCCCAGGAAGATAGCCAAACTTACACTGCCTGCCAAAACCTTAGTTATAAGAGTTTAAAATAAGCATCAGTATTTGTCAACTGTCCAGGTGGGACCCCGCTTTCCCACTAAGGCTGCCACAGTGGCAAACAAAAGGAAAGGATTCAAATGTTGGGCAACTAAAAGGCAACAAATATGCAGTACGTGAAATAATTTAAACTATTTTAATGGAGTTGAACAGGTACATTGATGTTTAGAATTTTTAAAGTGGCTTCACTATAAAGGGGGTATAGTAAACTATGGAAGTTGTTCTTTTTGTCTGCTCAGACAATTCTCCTACCTTCTTTCTTCAGATTCCTTTGGGAAACTCCTTCTCAACTCTATGTTAGTGTTGGGGCTGCCAATGATAGGGGTAGGCATACAGGACCTGAAATTGAGATATGGACATTGGGAGAGTGATTTATTTCTTCCACTGCAATTGCTTAACTGGGAGGGTGTGAGTGTGAAGCCTTTGAAAGCATTTGTCTGCCACTAGGAGAGAATCTATTTGAAGAATAAAGCAATGCAAACCAAGAGTGGAGAAAGTCCTGACAGCGGTCTTTGAGGCTCTGGATGCAGTCTCAAGATCTACCCTTGGACCTCCCAATTACATGCGCTAATAAATCTTTTGGGGAATTCAATTGCTGTCATTCGTATCCAGAAGTGTTCTGACATAGTGCAATGAATAAGATGTAGAAGATAATATCCTTTCTGTTTTGAGTTCTACAATTAAAGAGTAATGAAGCAATACAGTTCCCCCACTTCCCATAGTGGGGGTAGGAAGGATATTTGGTCATCAATTCATAAAAAAGTTTTAAAGGTAAAGAAAAATGCAACTTCTCTTAGGATCAAAGGGAACTATGGCCTGGTAAAAGAAAAGCTGGGAAGTTAATTGCTTGAGAAAGTCAAAATCAGGAGTAAAAGACGTAGATTAAAGCTATACCATAGGAAATTCATGTTTGTTATAAGACTTTCTTAATAGGAAAGAAATAATTGAATGTTTCATAAGGTGTTTTTTTTTTAAAGATTACAATTTGGGGGCGCCTGGGTGGCTCAGCCGTTAAGCGTCTGCCTTCGGCTCAGGTCATGATCCCAGAGTCCTGGGATCGAGCCCCACATCAGGCTCCCTGCTCAGCGGAGAGCCTACTTCTCCCTTTCCCACTCCCCCTGCTTGTGTTCCCTCTCTCGCTGTGTGTCTCTCTGTCAAATAAATAAAAATAAAATCTTCAAAAAAAAAAAAGATTACAATCTGGCCTGCATGAGGTGGTATACAACTTAAATAATGTAATAAAAGTCAAAGGATCCATTACAGTCAGATTTATCATTACCTACCTATTAAATCCTAACTTCTCTGGACCTCTGGTTTCTCACTTTTAACACAAGCATCTCTTTACACCTCTAAAATTGTGATTGAACATTAAAAGTTCATTTAGTCTGACAATTACATTTTTTTGCTACTACCAACATACATGAGCTTAGAAAAGCATGAAGAGTAAGTAGAACAAATTTCAAATCATAAATTTGAACATAATACAATAGAACTTGGTGATACTCAAAATTATTTTTCCAAATGGCACAAAAACAGACACAGAGATCAATGGAACAGAACCCTCTTACACTGTTGGTAGGAATGCAAGCTGGTGCAGTCACTCTGGAAAACAGTATGGAGACGCCTCAAAAAGTTAAAAATAGAGCTACCCTATGTAACCCAGCAATTGCACTACTGGGTATTTACACCAAAGATACAAATGTAGTGATCCAAAGGGGTACCTACACCCCAATGTTTATAGCAGCAATGTCCACAATAGCCAAACTGTGGAAAGAGCCCAGATGTCCATCAACAGATGAATGGATAATGAAGATGTGGTATATATATACACAATGGAATACTACTCAGCCATCAAAAAAATGAAAGCTTGCCATTTGCAAAAACGTGGATGGAACTAGAGTATTATGGTAAGCAAAATAAGGCAATCAGAGAAAGACAATTATCATATGATCTCACTCATATGTGGAGTTTAAGAAACAAAACAGTATTATAAGGGAAGGGAGGGAAAAATAAAACAAGACAAAATCAGAGAGGGAGACAAACCACAAGAGACTCTTAATCATAGGAAACAAACTGAGGGTTGCTGGAGGGGAGGTGGGTGGGGGGATGGGGTAACTGGGTGATAGACATTAAGGAGGGCACATGATATAAGGAGCACTGGGTATTATATTAGACTGATGAATCACTGAACTCTACCTCTGAAACTAATAACACATTATATGTTAATTAATTGAATTTAAATAAAAGAATAAAATAAAAATTCTTTTCCCAACTGCTTTATGTATTTCATTTTTTCACTGTACTGTGCTTTTAAATCTATTGACTAGCCCTCTTTTCAACTTGTGATGCATATCTAGAAATCCATCCATTGCTTCAACCACTTAAAAAAACTTTTTATTGTAGTAAAATATACAGAACACAAAATTTACCATTTTAATCTTTCTTTGCTTTTTCAAATGTGGTGGAATACACATAAAATTTACCATCTGAACCATTTTTAATTGTACAGATGAATGGTATTAGGTACATTCACAGTGTTGTGTTACCATCACCACCATCTATCTCTAGATCTCTTTTCACCTTGCAAAACTGATACTCTGTACCCATTAAACAATAACTCCCTATTCCCTCTTCTCTAAGCCCCTAGCAACCGCCATTTTATTTTCTGTCTCTATGAATCTGATTACTCTCATATAAATGGAACCATACAGGATTTGTCTTTTTGTGACTCGTTTATTTCACTTAGCATTATGCCTTCAAAGTCCATCCATGTCATAGCATGTATCAGAATTTCTTTCCAAGGCTGAATAATATTCCATGGTATATACATACCACATTTTGCTTATCCATTCATCCATCAATGGACAGTTGGTTTGCTGCTATTATGAATAAGGCTGCTATGAACATTGGTGTACAAATACCTCTTCAAGTCCCTGCTTTCACTTCTTTGGAGTATATACCCAGAAGGAGAATTTCTGGATTATATGGTAATTCTATCTTTAACTTTTTGAGGAGCCACCATACCATTTTCTACAGCAGTTGCACTACTTTATATTCCCACAGGCAATGCTCAAGGGTTCAGTTGAGAACTACTTTTATACATTAAAATGTTTTATTATTTTTAAATAATATGCATTTCAATAACAAACACTGAAATGATCATCTAACCATGCTAATACAGCTATTATTTTCTAAAATCCAAAAGTTTTCTCATTTGTATAATTTTACAGAACAGTAATATTTTATATAATTTTTGTTTTTTTCTGCATTATACATCTAAGCATTTTCCATGACATTACAACACCCCAAATTATCATTTTAATGTCTGTATCATATTCAACCAAAGGGAAATACTATTGTTTTCTTAATCATTGAACCTTTGAACATTCAAGTTGCTTCCAATTGACATCATTAGAAATATACAAAAAACACATATGCTCATATATCCTTTTTTTCTGTTGAATACTTTCCATAGGAAGGTATCAATGTTAAAATGTTTACACATTTTTATATAGTTGTTGACAAATATCACTAAATTTATTTCCAAAGGATAACAATTTGTATTACCCTAGCAGTCTCACCACAGTGACCCATGACTGGAGGGAGTTATCCTTCTATGCATCTCTAATTCCCTAACAAGCTGCCTATCACCTGGTAAACACACAATACATGTTTACTAATTGAATTCAGGAATGAATAAATGAGAATGCCATTTAACTGAATCCTTACCATTACTGAATCTTATTTTTTTGCTAATTTATGATAGCCAGTGCATTTTAGACTGGCTTAAACTATTTTAAAGCAATAAAAATTGGGGCACCTGGGTGCCTCAGTCGGTTGGGTCTTCGGCTTGGGTCATGATCCCAGGGTCCTGGGATCAAGCCCTGCATCAGGCTCCCTGCTCAGCGGGAAGCCTGCTTTTCCCTCTCCCACTCCCCCTCCTTGTGTTCCCTCTCTTGCTGTCTCTCTGTCAAATAAATAAATTAAAAAAAAAAAAAGGCAATAAAAATTGCAGGCATTGGCCTGCAAATCACAAGGTCCATAAAAAATGAATCTTCTTGCCAGCATAAAAGTCTTTCTTGGTATGTAAACATTTTCCTATACATTGCCAGGTGTAATGGAATTTCACTCAATTATAACCTTTCATTCTAAACATAAAATAGTATTGTGGGGTCACTTTCCTTACTTGCCATCTTTTGTGGTACTGGGTAGATATAATCTCTATTTAGTATTTATGTATTAGCAAACAAAATAGTATCAGCCATTCTTAACTCATCATAACCAAAATGTCATTGGCTCTAGGTTTTCTTTGTCTTATTTTGTTTTTTGTTGTGAATTTTCTAGCCATTAAACTGTGAGTTCTTTGACATTAAATAATATTTCTATTTCATCTTTGTACCTGCCAAACTGACAAAACTTTGCATGATAGGAATCAACAAATATTTTTGGTATACATATTATGCTATATATTTTGTTTGATTTAATTGAGAATAATTTTAAAGAATCATGATAAAAATCAATTATATAAGTATTAAAAATATACATTATAAGGTACCCTCTTTATGTTAGGGTACTAGAATAAAATTACCAGATAAAAAGGAAGATTTAAACTATCCTGATATTCAGTGTAGTAATTCTTCTTCAAGGGTTGCAAATTATAATGGGAATGTTACAAAACTGTCAAATTCTTCCCAAAGCAATCTTCAAGTTAATCAACATAGACAATCATTCTTTTCATTTCTATGGCAATAAGAAAATTTTAAGCAGTATCTTTTGATTGGAGTTGTCTTGAAAATTACTTTGTTGGAGGCCTTTATTTTAAAATGCAACAAGACTGAAATATTAAATGTAATTTGTCATGCAGCCTAGAGAAAGAATGAAGCATTTGGTACACTTTTCCTAATTGTTTCTGATTGCTGCCTGGGTAGCTCCAGCACTTCTCCATCTTCAAAATCACCTTCCAGGGCTTCAACATCTTTGACCATTACTTTTAATCAAAGGGGCTAAACATAAAATAAATTGACTATTATGTAGCAGAAATCTTAACAATACTGGCTTTCACATTTTTATTTAATTGACCTTAAAGAGAGAGGCCTCAGAAACTAAACTGTTAATGAATTCTGATTAGGTGACAAATTACCTAATGTTAATACTGACAGAAATCACTGTCCCAGGAAAAGTGGTCAATACTAAAGTCAATGGAATTCAGTTTTCCAATGATAATCATGTTTCATGAGGGCCTGTTTAACAGTAAATAAAGCTCATTCGTATGTTTAAAGTGTGATTATTTAGAAAACTTATACACCTTAAAAATTTGCATGAATTTCCTTAACACTAAG